TTAATCTACTTTTTTACGAAGCCCCGTACGACTTTTTTTCATCGAGTTATTCAACGTTGAAGCAAAAATGGTCCTTTTGCTTCAACGTTGAATAACTCGATGAAAAAAAGTCGTACGGGGCTTCGTAAAAAAGTAGATTAAAGGTAAAGATTCGCTCTTTCGAATGATGTAAATCGCATTTATATACAATTTTTATTCCACTCCGTGGAGCTTCGCAAATTTCATAAAAAATTTTGATGTCTCATATATCTTCATTTATGTTTGTGTAATTTCATGAAATCTCCACGAGACCATTTTTTTAAGTATGATCCGAAAAGTAGAGGTTTCTACTTGTAAAATGCTTTTTTAAACATCCCGATACGACAATTTTTGACAAAGTTATTGTATCTTGAAATTTGCTTATTTTTGCAGAGTGAACAGGTGTTGCGTTAATTTTGTTGCTCAGTGTATATTCTATTTATGTATTTTGAAAAATAAGTAATACACTACAATTTTATATCACGTATTTCTCTCCTCTTTTATGAAAAAGTTTGAATATCTTTTCTTAGGCTCGGTATATATAGAAATATGCATCAGATAAATATTTTACGTAGGAGGTAAAAAGAAAAAAAATTAAAAACATGTCATCGCGTTTTATAATGTTTCCTAGATATAAAAATAAATAAGTAAATAAATTTTTAACGATTAAAGTGTTGCGTTGTTCAATTCATTCTTAAAAATACACTTCTTTACCGAGTTCAAGGTTAACGAGCCCAAGGTTGTAATTTAACCGATATTGCTTTTTATTTATCCGCAAGTTTAACGCTTCATTCGCGGCGTAATGCGAGATAAAACCCGTATTTCACGCCACGACACCACGTGTATGACCCGCGTAAGTAACAAAGTGGCTTTTTAGTACACATTCTGTCTCAGGAGAATCAAAGATCGTCAACCGCACTTAAAACCGTTGTGCCGCAGGATTTGTGGTAACGGCTTGGAATATGCGGCTTGTACCAGTTTATGGCAGTGTAAGTTCAGTTACGGAGTTGTGAGCAGAGTGAGCGCTCGTCGTTGCACAGAGCAAGAAAATCCTGTAATAACAGAGCACATATGTGAAACGTACTTATATGTTCAATAACAACTTGATAAAACGTGCGCTCCAAATTCGCGTGCGGCAAATACGACGATTTCCAAAATTATATAATATTTATATATCGGCACAGATGTGGACGAAAATTTAATCTAAAAAATTGTTCAAAGCGGTTGTTTTTCTTTTCTAATATTTTTATATTAAATTAACGATAAGGATATTTTTAAGAGGGATTCTTATTTACATTAAAAAAAAAATTTATTAACTCTTAACAATTTCTTTGAATACAGTACTAAGTAAATATTTACTTACGGTAAATAAATAGTTTATTCAATAAAAAAATTATAATTAAATCAAATTTTCTGTTTACTTTGCGCTGCTGCTGTACTGTATTTGCTATTGTATGTATCAACAATACAATAATTAATTAGTCGAATTAGCAAGGAGGATTGTTTATGCTGGGTTTATGTCGTCAGTGTATACCTTTGATATTACATTACTACTGCAGCAGTAACGCTCAGCAATTCATCCACCGTGAATAATAGTCAACCTTGTCTTGTATTAGCGTGAGTAAGATGGCAATTAATTATCTCAATGTTTGTTTTGACAATTAATCTGTATTAAGTAATAACGATTAATTATTAATCAATAATTATAAACTTAGCAAAGATCAATTAACAATTAAAACAAATAGAATTCGAAGCAATATTCGAGAAATGTATGCATATTCATGCACTTGAATAATTAATTACCCAATAGATTTTATATTCGATAGAAAAAGATCTAAAGTATTTTTCAGTACTAACATAAAATAAAAATAAATAAATTTTTAAAGGTGTAATAAATTATATGTATATATTAATAAATATAAAGGTTAATTAAATATTTAAAAAGTCTTAAATATTTAAAAGTCTTAAATATTTAAAAATCTATAAGATTCTATATAGATATGCGGTTTGCTTCGCTATTTGCTACGTGTGATTTAATGCAATACAATTCTTGATAGTAGATATTCATGTTGTAGGCAATTCTGAGGCACTCTGTACTCTAAATAAATCTCATCTTTCGGTTTTTTTGCCGGTAATACGAGAAGAAGATCCTTAAACCGATCTCGATGAGCGGTACTTTGAGAGATCGGAGGTACCCTTTGGCATAAATATTGATGAGTTTCTGGGAGAAGAAAGTTTCTTGTAAAGTTTCTAAGAGAGAAGAAGCACAGTGGCTTAAGTAATCCAACCGAGAAGCTGTGTGTCATGCAAACCCCGTCGATATTCAGCCAATATAAGGACTTGGTAGAGATTTTTGGAATAAACATAATTTCGGAATTCGTATTCTTTGATGTAATTTATAAAAAGAGAAAGAGGTACCTTTACTACGAAAGTTAAATTAATAATTAAAATTACTATAAATAGAAGGTAAGGTTACTACACGTAGTTCCCTGTGGACATTAAAATGCAGTAGCTGTACGTTCACTGAACATTAAGATGTTAGAGACACATTTAGGATAATCAATTTCGAGCCTCTGTTTTAGACGTAAATTTTGAACGTAACCTATTGACCCAGAAACTTGAAATGACGCGACTGTCGTTACGCTTTTAATAGCTTTTGATAACACCCACTCAAATGATTTATTAAATGCCCTCGTCGTGAATTTCGTATAAAAATAGAAGACAAAGGTCAGATCACAATTGTTTCTGAAGATATGTTAATGTAAATGATTTCTGTAAATATGACTATATACATTTTTTATAAAGTTATCTCTCTCTCTCTCTCTCTCTCTCTCTCTCTTCCTCTTTTTGTTTTTTCTTTTTTAAATTACAAAATATAAAATATTTTGGAACCTGTAAAAAGTGTTTGGAAAAATGCAATGTAGAACATTTTGATTAGAATGCAACAATGAGATGTAATCTTGTAAATTGCAATGCCACGTTGAATGCAAAAAGATTTTGTTGAAATAATAGAAATGAAAAATTCCAACACGGTTACAGCAATATTGGAGAACTTGTAAAATAAGAAATAAAGTTTAGTAATATTGTTATTTTCTTCTGCGTACGTCGGCTTTAATTCTCTGCATTTCTGGAAGAAAGGCAGAGAAGATTGCTATATTTTTTGGCCTCTTGAATGTACGTAATCCCTTAACATAAATATATTTTACCGCAACATTGCCATAGAGCAGTGTAAGTCTTCTAAAGGCGAACCCTTTAATTTTACTACAATTTTACGACGCAGTAATATTTTTTGCACGACGTATACAATATTGCAATTTTACAATGGCATTTTATAGCAGTGCTGCAACCTTCTGTGTGGTGCTACATGGACGAAGAAAGTATTTAACTCTTTTATGGTTGCACGTGTTAACCGTTCCACCCGGAAGAACATAGGCGGTCGGCAGCCATTATTCTCAGGCACAAAGACCAAGAGCAATAAATTATCATTGCTCTCCTCACTTAATCTCAAAAGCCTGTTGTAATACAGCAGACGTCATAAGTGGAATGCGATCAATGCGAAATGCGAAATGCGAAGGTAAACTAATGTGGGAGATACGTTGATCGCTTTTTTAATAATATATTGAGAAAAATGTTCTGATTGTACCAATAAGAAAGTACAAAACAAATTCTGATCATATAAATCATCGTAATTAAACTTCTCGACTAGCATATTTAATAGATTTAATAATAAGTGTCTAATTTGTACACTAAAAAAAATATTAAATTTACAAAAATATTTGTTTGAAATTCTAAATAAATATTTACTAAATGTAAGCACATATTTATTTGATACAAGATTAATTTGTGTGACTTACTATCATACATGTTTTAATTAGGATAAATATTTATTTACTAAATGTTTAGTTCTACTATTCGAAGAAATATGTATTAAAATTTAATAAATCCTTTTTCAGTATACCTTTCTGATTGAATCTGTCAGAATTCCAATTAGTGCAACAAGACTTTTTCCAGTGTAGGTATGATCTTTCTCGGTGTCTCTTCTTTTTCTCGTATATCATCCTCAGTTTTTAGATACTTACCGGGAATGCTGGTACCGAGGGCGACGAAAACAATCGCGGTGACGGAATCCTTGATGCCCAAAGTACAACCGAAATACGAGGCAACGTCGCCGATTATCGCCGTGACCACGCCAATCCCCAGAATGCTGACGATAAAGCACAAATAACCGCCGGCGATATCTGAAATAAAAAAAAGGTATCCCATACGTTTTGCGAAAGCAAAATACAGAGAGTTTCAGAATTCGATTGTTAAATAATATAAATATTGTTTGCACGCATATTTCTTTGTATATATAAAATAGAAGAAATAGAAAAATATACACACGATGATAAAAAAAAGTTTGGCCACAAAGTTTTGGGTTTATCAAACATTAGTAACGTATGTTTATAAGAAACAACTTTTTTTCTCTTTTTCTTTGGAGTGTTTATTATCTCTTATTAAAAACCAAAAAATAATAATTAACATTCAAAGTGGTCACCTTTAGCTTTGATGTAAATTTAAGATTTAAGACGCAACAAGAATGCATTCACGATTATCACGCATTTTTCCGCGGATAAATTCTTTTAGGTAGACAAGAGATATGTCTTCAATTCATCAGCCGAAAATTTTTTTAGCAGAATTTTTTTGGTATTTAATAAGATACAACTATAACACACTCCAGAGTAAGTTTTTTTCTTTTATATATTATATATTACTATTTAGGTAGCAAGTTGGCGTTATTTGTCGTTGTTTTTACATCCAAATGACGACAAATTACGTCAATTTATTATCTGAGCAATGATTTGATAAACATACAAATGTGAAAAACTTTTTGTCGGCTTGTATATAAAATCCATATGGACAAAAGATTATAAAAAATTAATTAAACTGAAAAATTAATGTTAAAATCGCTGTCCTTCATTAATTATTATTCATTAATTATTATTAATGTCCATTTTAATAATGGAAGTGAAATCGACGATATTTTTGGGGTTTAATAGAAAAAACATTGGATAACAGTGCCAAAAAATTTTAATCACTTTGCGCGATATGCGGGATGAACAAAATGCAAATTATAAAGTGACATTCTCTTCGCTCACGCAAACATACACTATCACGTAACCACTCGTTTGAGAGCTTAATTAGTCTAGTTAAAAGTCCACAATTTTTCCTCATTTACGCTCACTCTCGGGACTAATTATGCTGCCTCAGCTCAATTCTGCTTGGCTTTTACAAATCACGAAGCTCGTAACGTTAAAAGCGTTATTTTACCATAATTGGCTATTTCCGATAAATAAAATCACTTATAGAAATTAGTTTAAAACTGTGATAAATGAACAAAAATTTCTATTAAAACTTTGTATGATAATTGTTAAAATATATAATTTTTATATATAATTTTTACTCAGAAATTTATAATATACATTATTTTAGTGCTATTAATATTATATTAAAATATAAGGAGAAGACTTTATAAAAATCATATAAATTTTTTTTTCAATGTACATATCACATATATAAATTTTGTACATGTTTTCATATATAGTTTTATAAAAGCTGTTTCATTATAAGCTGTTTGTCTAAAAATACAACTTTTACATAACTGTTCCTAACAATTCCCTCAGGGATTATTTGTATTCTTTTTATTTTTTATGAATGAGTGCATTGCGTTGTACATATGTCAGATTGTAGGACGTCTAAAAAGGAAATAAAAAATGCATAATCAATTTAACTCTGTACAGATTTATTTTGCAAACATTAAAATAATTGTAATTTTACTAAAAACTATTGTCTTTATATAAATAAATCTATTTCTTCTTACTTAAAATTTTGCAAACATATTCTCTCTAAAACTTGCTAATCGTAAAGTATATTAATAATGAAACTAAGATTCTGTTTTCAAGAATGAGTGAGGGAAAACGTCTTTACGAGTCTTGTATTATAATTCTTATGTTATAAGTCTAATAATTCCTTATTTATAATAAGTATTATAATTTCTTGTGCAATAAGTTTAATTTAACGGTGCGTCATCTTTTTCATAATAAATAATACAATATATTATAGGACCGTATGTGTGTGTGTGTGTGAGTGTGTGTGTGATAACATAAAGAAATCAAAGCCTTAAACGGTCCAGCTGGATTGTCATACAATGCTTGTATGATTCTTGTGTGAATTTATATATTACGTATGTAATCCTTAGAAACGCGCGCCGAAATGATTTTTCGGTCTTGAAACGCTAACTCTACTAAACTACTTTTTCATAATAGCTTCTTTACCTCATATAGTTCCCTTTTCAACCTGCATTTAAACTACTTTTAGTTTCTTTTTACGTTTTCTATTTTCATTTTCGTTACATTCGATTATATTTTTTTCTCTCTTTCCATTTCCTTCTTGTTACATTTCACTCCGCGCGTTACATTAATACTGATATTGAAAGGTTTTTTTCTCGTATATTGTATGTGGATTTTCTCGATCCCGTACATACAATTATTGTGAAAATTGCGAAAAGCTTTCCTTCATCACAATATACTTGAAAAGCAAGCATCTTCTCACATTTGGGGGTATAAGTATCATTTTAGAATTGTAATCACGTCTCAAAATCATGTGACAAAAGTCCTTGAAGCGGCACATAACGGATATTATTATCAGTCCCTAACGTTCTCCAAACGGTCCAAGATATTCGCAATTGATGTGAAACTCGCGGAACGCTTTCTATGGAATTATTATTAAGACAGTTGAAATTCTTGGAGAGCCGCAAGGCTGACGCGGTTCATACCGCAAGTAAAATGCTCTCTCTCTCTCTTTCTCTTTACGCGAACGCATGAATGTGACAACAAAAGGGAATTATTATTAGAAATCTGTATACAAAGATACGTTTACGATGGAACGTGGGCGTTAATACAGCTAAAGAGTCTGTAAACACGCGGTTAGTTTTACTGTTAACACGTGGCCGGTGTATATTATTGCAATACGCTTGCTACACTACTCTTGTACTAAACTCGACTGATTTATTAAAGTCTTTTGTGATCTTTTTCAAGCAACTCACTCTTATCGATTACATTATGTAATTATCGGAAAATCAAGCAAGCTTGGAAATTCTCTCGAGATCGAATAAAAACTCGTCTGACAATATTAAATAAAAAGTCTGAAAGTATAAAAATAAAGTGCATTCTGTAATTCTTATATACAATATAATACGAGTACATTATTATTTCTAATTAAACTATATAAAAAAAAGTTTTATTTAAAAACTTCTACTCAATTAATTTTTTATATTTTTTTTTTACAAAATATATTGTATCGACAGTACAAAACAATTTTTTAAAAAAGATTCTTACTAATTTACTTATTTTACTCCGTTGAATCCGTTGCAAAAAATGCAACTCTTAATTCTTATTAAAGAAAATTTTATTTGATATCTCATTACTTCGTACTATTGCCATAAATTCCGAACGAAATTTACTTTGGAAGAGTATAGAAGCACAGGTCATCATAAATCACGCAGAAATTTCGTGGAAATTTCATGAGAGAGCAGAGAAGTATGTATATAGCGTTCTTTATCTATTTGCTTGTACATGTGTGTGTATTTGCCTGTGTAATACACGTACATGTCCATAGGGAATTTTAGGAACATCTTTAAAAAAAACCGTTAAACTTAAGATATTATGCATATCTCTGCATTTATACATACATAACTTGCAAATTAAGGTCTTGAGAATTCAACTATCGTCTTCAGATTTTGCCGACTTTTCCGGCAACATGTCCCACTGCGAAATATTGCATTTAGTAATGCGATGTGTTCATGAATCTCGCTCATACCGTTGCAACCGGTATACATATTACAGTTGCATAATCTGCAGTTACATAACTATAAATTTCGGCTTATCTGGAAAGTATTGCAATCGTAATAGCATAACGTTTTATATACTTGGAACATTTATTTATCATATTCTAATCTAGAATTTACTTTTGATATCAAAGAAATTCCTCGATCACTCCGATAATTTCCGGCTCTGACCGGAAATTAAGCTTTTTTTTTCCTTATAAAAGGTGAAGCGAGAGGAAGAGTAAATACAATTCTGCATCTTGTGCTTCTGCATAGAAGCGCTGATCTACAAGGACGACGGGTAAAAAAGAAGAGAAAGATAAACAAGGTGAAATTACGTTGCTCGATACAGTAGTTTCCAGAGCTTTTGCAGAGTTCAGCAGGTCTTTGCGATTGTGCTTGCTGAAATAAAGCACGTCTTCTCCTCGCCCTTTATCCTCCTCTTACCGTCTTTCCTCGTTTTCTTCCACCTGGATGGAAGTAGAGCCATGACTAAAGAATGCAGAAAAGCTCTCCCACATCTCAAAAAATACAGGAATAGGTTAAAATAGAATCGAAGAAATAACAAAAATAAAAAAACGGAGACAATCCGTGAAAAATTTAAGACATAAAATTACGCAAACAAAAAGAATCTATTTTCTTCAAACTTTTTACAAAGTCCCGTAATCAAAGTATAATATTTGATTACAGAAAGCTGAGTTTCTTCAATTGCTCTTTGTACAAAGATAATAAATATCTATATCTTCGTGTTCTTCATACTGTTAAGATGGATTATTGAATAACTTTCATTAGTTTTAAAATTTCACAGTTATTTTTTTGTAAAACATCGCATTATATAAATCAATTTGTAATTAATCTTCTCGTATGCGTGTGAATATTAAAAACTATTATCCCGCGAGAGAGAGTTTAAGTGTACCGTTTTCCGTTTTGCAGATTGCACCATCATAAACACATTTTGATCGAAATTCGCTTTACTTTTCATGTTAGCTGGCAATTTCGTATCTATAAACGTTTTCATATAAGATTGAAATTACAGTATTAATATTCACAATGTATATATTATTTTAAAAGTGCTAAAAACATCTTTTTACATGTTAACGAAAGTAATCGAATTTGAACAATCGTTTAATAAATATTTTTACCTCAGTTTTGCCATAAAAATCATTAATAAGAGGTTTTTTGTACAATTCTGTACACATAAATAATACAATCAATTCCTGAGAAAAAAAATGTATTTAACACATAATACACAAACAATAAATAAATTATTATAGGTTCTATTTCATATCGAAATAGTCAACAAAATATAAAACGTCTTGTAAACCATCGATTACTTACCAGAATACTTTGTTATATAGAATGTTTATACAAACAGTCAAAGCATTAAAAAATATTATTAAAAAAATATTATATAATACAAAACTATTATATATTTATTTTGCAAAATTTTATCAACATTGATGTCTTGTATAAAACGCGTTTTATAAAATTTGAACCAAACGGATCACACAAATTATAATTCAACCAAAAAAAAAAGAAGTCTACCATATGATGTAAGAGGGAGTTTGTAACATCTACCGTTATTATATTTGTTCATGCGCTAAGAATTTTCATTTTCATTCCATCACAGCTGAAGAGGACTGAGTAAAATCCGAAATGTTCCGTACGAACATTTAAATGTATAGTTTAATAAATTCAATTTTATCCACCTAACAATATTGCTCGTGTTTTTTAATTATTGACTCTGAATAGATTAGTGAAATCACTTTAATATTGCTGTAAAATTAAAAATTTTGAAATACTTTTATCCAAAATTAAAAAAAAACGATAATAAAAAATGTTCCAAATTTAACGAAACGACAAAAATTAAGGTGTACATTGAAATGATTCATTCTATGTAAACACAGATAGACAATATTAATATGAAAAGATTCTTTTACTTACCTGTGGGTGGAACGAAGGCAAAAAGAACCTTCCAGAAGATGGTAAGAAAGTGCATAAGATAATCCATTACGGATGGTGAGGAAGGTTGACCGTTTTCACCCTCAGCGTCATCTTCATCACCCCTACTGACGGTCAGCGCTTCCATGAATTGTTCTTTCCATGAACTTGTGCCTAAAAATAAAATTTTAGAATTTATACATTTTAGAAAAAAAGTAGAAAACACAAAAGACATTATATATCTCAAATATATTCTGCAATAGATAAATTAATTTTATAAATCATAAAAATTTTTAATCTTTATTAACAATTTTTTAAATTGATTTATAATAATTCTTGATTAGTTCTTCTTCAAACAGTTAATACTGTCGCAGAAATTATTCAGTAACGTTACGACAATTCCTGTCTATTATGCATAAACAAACAAAGGATTCAGCCTGGTTCTTGAATAAAGTCTTCTCAACACTTGAATACAGTAAAAAAATACTATAAAATCTCATTTTTGTTCACATTCAGATCTATATACATATAATCGTGACGAGCAAGCGAATGAAGCGCTTTATCGAAGGTAAAAGTCGAAAATGCTTTGAGCGATTCCGCTTTACAGGCCGAGTGAAAGCAGAACATGCAGAAAGGAAAACGGGACAAAGAAAAGCACTATAATAGAGCAACGTGATATTCCTTTCTCGCTGTAATCGATTCCATTTTTACACGTATATGTATATACACACAAACACATTGAGAAAGAGAGAGAGAGAGAGAGAGAGAGAGAGAGAGAGAGACAGAAAAAAAGAATAGAAGAAAGACACGAAAAAAAGAACAGATTAGACAGTTCAGCAAGATATAGTTTGCTGAGTAAGTTCAACATTTATAATTAAGAGGATTTGATGATTCAACAAAGAAATTATGTCTGTAGTAAACAATTATGAGAAAAAGCTAATTTAGCTTATTCTTTGCTACAAAAAGATTTGCTGATGTAACAAGTTTTCTTCATTACAGCAGCAAAAGTCACTATCTTAGAGTTCACTTCACATTGCAAATGCTTTGAAGCATTCTTTGATTGGTCAATTTGTAAAATTTTTTCTTCTAATTGGTCAATCAAGTATTTGCAACGTTAAATGGATCATCGTTAGTCAGTTTTGTTCAAAATTTTAATCTGTATATTGATTTTTATAGAAAGTTATCTTTTCTGTATTAACAAATTTTTATTCAATGGTGGATATAGGGGAGGACGGAGAAAGCGACCTCCTCAGAATTTTCTCTAAACAGAAAGTTAGAAAATAACAAAAAGTTAAAATTTATTATATAACAAAATTTGTTTTTAAATTACATTTCATATCATGTTAATATGTATGTAAAAATATATCTGGCTAATAAAAATGCTGAATACTAACATGTATAATTTATATTTTATGATTATGATAATAATAGTAGTAATAATAATAATAGTAAATATAATAAAACAATAAATTAATAAAAATATTTAAAAGATATTAAAAATAACATCAACAATGAAAATAACATCAATAATAAGTAAATATTTACATTTTATCATATCACCCCCCCTCAGAATAATTCTCTGGATCCACCCTTGTTTTTGCTGTGCTATAACAACAAATACGATTACCTATAAGCGCTAATTTTATTCAGGTGTATAATTTTATTACTTTAACAAAGTAACTGACTGTCCATATGCGGCTGTAGATTTGTTGAATCGGTGAAGTTTTTTAATTGTTTCAACAAATCTTTTTTTTCGTGGAGAGAAAATTAAATTGTTTTCATCTCGTTTAATTTTTAAATAAATATTTACCAAATAATGTCCGTTGATAAATATGTTTTGTACTTTTCCTTATTATATATTTACAATATTTGCAATATTTCTTATGCATACACTAAATAATATTTTGTCCATTAAATATTTTACGTACTGTACTTCGGCATTAATAGCAATTATTTATTAAATGTCGAAAAAGATTACCATACAATAAAGTTTCGTTGCTGTCTGTAAATTCGATTTCTTGACCAAAAGCTCTCACCAAAGCTTTTCAGAGATGCTTTGAGGAACATAGAGTACGTGAAATAACTTCCTGCCGTGAAGAAAAGAAAAGCCTCCTGGGAAGTGAAAGGAAGAAAAGAACCAAAATGACAGTAGAAAACAGGTCGGTGCTGATATTTTCGTGGTTTTTATTGTTTTCTGTGCTTGAAGTTAATAGCGAAAGGAAATTCGACACGGTCATTTTCCAAGCTTCCATTGGAAGCTTACGGTATTCGTAATAGGAGGTGATAATAGCGCCATTCCGAGGAATTTTATTATTTGGTATTAATTTGTTCACATGTGTTTTCATATCGTTCATTTGCTACGACGACACAATTTAAAAAAATCTAAAGTTTAAATGTTTTGAATCATTTAAATTTTATCATTAATTTTGATGTAATATAAAGTAAACGATTGGGAATAAAAGTATGTTCCTTTTAATTACGTTCATTTTTTTTAAGTTTTTGTTTTTTTTATGCAAGCAACTAGAATGAAAATTTTTTATTATATCACTGTAGCAAATAAACGACATGTAAAATTTATGTAAATCATAAGGGTCTTATTTAGAGTTTTAATTTATTCCAAATTTTTATTTATTCCGACAAGTTTTTATTTTAATTAACAAGTTTTTATTGAAGTTTAATTAAAGTTTTTATTTTTTTCTATAAAATAAAACGTTATAATGTTCCCATACAACACAGAATTTGCAGCAATATTGCTGCAAAATCTCTATAATATTATATACATACAATGTTGTTGCAACGTTGCAGCAGTGTTGCTGCAACTTTTGTGCAACTTTGTGCTGTAGGGGTTATAATATTGTATATGTGTCAGTGTGATATAAAAATAATAATTACATCGAAAGTATTTTTAATTACATATTAAATGTCAAGTTTATTGCAATTCAAATTTTTATTTGCAATTCATGCATCTAACTTAGTGCATATTAGAAAGGTTGCTCAAGATCATATAAGAAGTATGTTTCTGAACGGTTGCATAGCCAAAGCAGCAAAAATTTAAGATGAATGTAGAAAATGCAGAAACGTGAGAATCATGCATATAGTGCCGAGGGAGTCTTGAATTTCACCAGCTTCTACATAATGCTGCATTCCTCAGAGTTGCATTTTTAAAGAGCCTCAATCTAGATGCTCGCGCGCGTCCCGTGATACGCATTTCTCCATTGGGAAAGATTAAGTCAAGCAAGTTCGAGTTAGACGCGTAGACTATTCAATAATAAATTTATGGCAGAAGCTTGGTGAAGAAAAGTTTCTTGTAAAGAAGAAACTACGAATAGAAACTTTACTATATTTTATATAATTATGAAAAACAGTCATAAGAATTAGTTGAAACTTTCATCCCGATTTTATTTCTCCTTGTCTCTCATGTTTTAACAAGGGGCTACTAAACGTGTATAATTGACGAATACAATGTTCTGTCTCAGCCGTAATGACTGTCATAATTATAATTATAATACGTACACTTTATATTTGTGTCTAAATCTGACTTGAGTTACAGTGGCTATAAAAAAGTAGTCACTTCCAGTCAACATATAATTTTACAATAATTTTTTTCAACCTATTTTTTAATTTATAATTTGATAAAATTATTATTTATAAGGGACACGTATTTTTTTACTGAATATTTTCATGTAATTATATATGTTTCTGTTTCTGAGAAAAATGATAATATCTATTATGATAACATCTATTTTGGTCTACAAGATGTCACTTTGCTATTTAGGAAATATAATTTAATATTTTATTTCTCAATTGTGCTACGAAGAGTATAAAAAGATCCTGTGTGATATGTATACGCGCGCGTATGATTATAACTTTTACATTTTACAGCAGATGTTCCAAGAAGAAATCATATTAGGAACTCACCGAGTATTATGGAGGCATTTGCTCGCTGGACAAGTTTATCCACAGTGTTCTTGAACTCCTTGGATTCTTTAATCCTGATTTGCGCTCGGAACACTTCACCTAAGCGCGGTCTGCCCAACAGTGCCATTTTCTCCTCTTCCGTTCTTTCCTCCGGCTGCTTCAGCTCCGCCGCTGCAGCGATTCCTGCTTCCGCTGAAACCAGAAAATCGCATCTTGCTACTTTAATAATGTCGGGACACGTTCTATAACAGAATAAGTGGGCAGCCGATTCATGGTCAGATAAGAACAGCGAAACAGTTTCTGTTAATTAACAGTTTTAATTAATTCCAGTCTGGCATAATAAATATGCGCGTCATATCGCTGTAAACTTCTTTACAGGATATTTTTGGATATCGAATGACCCATTTTTGCATTTGCAAAATGCTAAAAGTTTTAAGTACCTTCAAGAAGAGAGTTTTAACATCGAGGAACATTAAGATACGGACAGTTTTAAACCAAGTTAAATTAAGGTAATTTTAAAACAAGTTATTTAAAAAATATACAATAACTTTTATATTAAATAAAGTTACAAAATTTGTATATAGAGCACATTTTACTTAGATTTTACTATCATTAACTATCATTATATAACTATTCTTAAAAAATATTTTATTTTTTATTAAGATACTATTTTCTCAAAAAATCACGATATTATTTTAAATATAATATTGTTATTATTTTTATTCCTTCTATTCATATATTACTGATTTATATTACTGGTTGCTAAATATTCTGTTTAACTCTTCCAGTTCTGCATATTGTATTATACATAAAAAATATATAAGAAATGAATGTAACGAAAATATAGATGTACAAAAAGGTTAAATAAAATTTGTAGTATCAATTGTTAAAGATAAACTCACGCTACTCTATAAAGATCGATCGTGAGAAAGCAATATTGGACAAGATTGATTGATCAATATCCTCCACATGAATCTATTAAAATAAACCTTAAACAAAGAAGACGAGTGCGACAAACAGTCGCTTTCTCATGTGGTCGTGACTTTGTTATCGATTGGTCTCATGAATTATAGTCACACACCTCTCTTAAGCTAATTCCGTGCTTCGTACTCCGTGTCTGACCACGCATCGACTCACATCACTTGAATTAACACTTTTCTACTAGCGCACAGTGTGAAACTAATTCAGCCTAGAAGAAAAATATTGTTCTATGTGGCTGCATACACAAATATGGAATGATAAGTATGAATACGATGTATTCATTTTATTATTGTTACAGTTAGTACGGCAATTAGTTTCGATAAAAGTATTCAGCCATGTTATTTCGTTATCTGAAGAAATGTTAATATATAAAAAGAGGGATATATTAAGTATCCAGATATGTTATTCATGTAACGATAAAATTTTCTACAATGCAATATGTATTGACGATTTTACACAAAGTGTGTTTGCTGCGCTATCGATGCATGAATAATACTCAATGACCACATTTATCTCCGTCATCGAGGGATGATCGATACTTTACACCGGGTGTTTCGATCGATGATGAATAACGCATTTATTGTTGGTATCTCCTGTCTACAACCGTGATGGTATAGGGTCGTATTTTATCGAAAAAATAAAAAACCGAATAAATCTGAAATGCGGATAAATTTGAAATATGTTAAAATAAGAGACAGCCAAGAGATAAAAAAAAATAGAGAGCGAAAAAAATTATTATTATTATTATTAAAAGGAAATGTTGTTATAGACAAAAAAAGAATAAAACTAAAGAATTTGCATAAAAACAAAAAATTTTAACAAATTAATATATGTAATTTCTCAAAAAATCAAAAATTATATTTAAAAATTTTTTCTATTTAAGATCATTTACAAAAAATTCATAGATCCTTTTAATATGAAAAAACAATTAGTGGAGACTTTTTCTGTAAATGATAAATTATATCTCAATCACACTTTTTCGTGTTTTAGAAAAATATGTTACTTATTCGCTTCATTATCCAGGAAATTTTCTAGAAACATCCTTTAAGCGGATATAAATTTGTTTACCTTGGCTTTCACTAGCTGTTCTAATGTTACTCCATAAAAGCTTCTTATAGTTCATATCTCGACTAAAGCTCTGGAAGTTAGCTGTTCGTATTGGCAAATTCAATTTTGCTTGACTTTTGCTTGATTTAGGATAGATATATCAACTATTATCTCCTATCATACTCTCCCTAAACTTCGCGAAAGTGTATTTTGTTAATCGCTATAATGTTGCCAATATTATACAATAATTTAAGGATTAAATACAACAATGACAGCAATAATAAAAATATTCAATGTTTTATTATATTTGTAAACAGTTTGTGTGCGTGTGCGTGTGCGTGTGTATGTGTACGTGTGTGACACTTTATCGGATAAGCGGAAAATAATCTTTTATAATACGCGATATATAATCTGAAACATGCAGCAAAATAATAAACATAATTTCTGTAATATCGGTAGTTACGTAATAACAATAAAATAATAATATAATATTACATTCAAAATTATTACATTTACAAAACATTGTTGCCACTTGTAAAATAATAATAACAATCCGTTGTTGAAGTACGGTTTTATCATTGTATAGTATTTCCAACGTAAAACAAATCTGCCATTTACTATTTACTTTTTCGTGTTTTTTATACGTTTAATTTTATTTTTGCAAAAACTTCAGATAGATTGGTTTAAAGATTTTGTACGCTTTCAACATATTATACAAAAATCGGAGACGAAATTTTTTAGAAATTTTAGCATAAAACCGATTTCTTACTATGATAAGAGCAACAAAATCAAGATTAGAGTAATAAATTAATATTTATAAAGGATACTAAATTCTCTGTTTCCTGATTCTGTTCTAACATGCTAACTTTATAGACATGATAAAGTCATTCATAATTTGTCGGATCTAAAATGTATTCAAAAATGAAATCGTCGGAAAAATATTTTGTTAAGTAGATAATTATTCAATGTATATAAATAAATCAATAATAATAAAGGTATTTGAGATATAACATTTCATAATCTTCTTCTAAAAATTAATTAATTTTAATTTTCATATAGACGATAACTAGAAAAGACATCTAAGATTGCTGTAAATTTGTTTTTCAAAGCCATATTTAATGCGTCGTTGAATGTTGAATCTCATTCAAACAAAGGAATACAATTTAACAGCGGAAAGGGAGAACAAGAGATTAAAATGAGGGTCGTTTCTGACTCATTGTCAGACACAGATAAGATCAATAAACGATCGACCGATGAACGCCAGATGCAGTCAGGATGCAATTTATTACGCTCGAAATATGCTTTTATTTGAAAAAACCGACGCGTTAAATTTGAGGTAAAGGAAATGTAATGTGCCTCAGAAATTATTCTATGTTTTGCTTTCTAACGTAATTTTGCTTAGTTAGCATTATGTATATCTCAATATTTCTTTGCTTGAATATACATATATAGTAGTGTGTTGCGGTGCATTTTAAGTGAATTGCATTCTGTCACAGTGAAATTAGCTCATATATATATATATATATGAGCTAATTTCTTATAAAGTTTATATAAAAAGTTAAGACAATCTTAGTTTTAAAACTTATTTATTTTCTTCATTTATATACTTATTTATTTATTGGTAGATAAATTTAAAAATCCATTTTAGTTTTAATTATTTAAAATCTCTTTAGTTTGTTACTTTTTAGATTAAGATATAACGTTCTTGACATTTTGCAATTGACTCTCATAAGGTATACTTTTTTTTATTATACATAATGACTGCATGGATAATAGAGATCAAAAAATAAATGAGATAATTTATCCAAACTAAATAAAAAATGCAAAATGAATCTTTTAAAACCCTTTTTATTTTTGAGTATTATAAGAAATAAATGTTTTCCTTTTTTTTATCTGTTAAGACATATTATTTGATAAATATTATTTGAGTCACTTAAAATAAATAATTAAAAGTAAAAGTAATCATGGAAATATTTATAAACAGAAAGAGGATTGTACTATTCTTTTATTGGGCGAGCTTCGCAATCGAAAAATTGCTAGCTATTGCAAAACTGGGACACGATGATTGAATACAAGCATTGATAACTAAATATGGTCCTGACTCTTCCATCAGAATTTTAAACTTGATTGGGGACGGCAAGTCAGAAATAGATGAGTGCGGAAAATCTCGTCTCATTTTGCAAAGTTTTTTTAACTTATGAAGGTTTAACTTACCAACGGTAGTGGAATTTTCACGAGTGCTTCTCGATCAAAACGTCGAAATTATCGGAAAGCATAAAGAATGGTAGGCGGAAGCAAACGAAAAATTCAGTATACGAATGTAGTAAATCTTTCTCCAAGTTTTTTAAAAATTTCAGAGAGAGATCTATTTATAAGAAATATATACGTTTAAGTTAAAAGATTCTAATCTTTTCAAAAAAAATTAAAGAGACTGAAAGTGATTAAAAATTTTAAATTATAATGATTATTTTTTTTTAGATAAAAGAGAGATTAGAGACTGTTTGATAATAGTAGATTACAAAAAATAGTTAATATTCTGTAAATGAGCAATAAATAAAATATGAAAAACAGCAAAAAAAACTTAAAAGTCTTTACTATATATTAGCATATCAATAAACGCGGTCGTATCGCGTGCAGTAAGCAACAAGGCAAATCGGTATTTATGCGCGAGCTGTCAAGTTGAAAGTACTTTAGATTACCGTATCTCAGAAACGCCAATTGAGTTTCTAATAAGTTTAAGTATCGATAGCCGCGGTTTCGATTGTACTACGAACATGCTTTAACTCCACATTCTATTCGAGTGGGTATGAGTGGAGATAACGCAAAGTCCGAAATAGGAAATTTTGAAACGTTATTATTGTACTGATTACCGCAGATAAAATGTTTATCTTCAATTTCTAACACAAGGTTAGGCTAGGAGTGATTGAAACAATCTTGATACTGTCACATATATGTGTCAGAGATAATAATCGTCAGGATAATATGATTAACCTCCGAGAATTTAATCATGACAGATATTTTAGCGAAACTCTACATATTGACATTTATCTCAATATCCTAATTGTTGTAAAAGTTACAATACATAATTATTTGCAAAAGTTGTATGATTATTTGAAATAGGATAAATCTTTGCTAACTCCGTTTTAAATATTTAATTCTACTTC